CAATTGGTTACGAGGGGGAGGCGGCAGGTGGGATTGCAACCCGTAGGTCCGCATCAAGACTCTGTGGGGAATCCTCCCACCGATTGCGGGAGCTCTGCCGGAACCTAGGCGAGGTTCTGGAGGCAGGGAACTACTAAGTAATCCCTTTCTATCTATATAACCCTCTACACCCATACTTGCATATCCCCTTATGGTTTGATTGGTGTATGCGTGCATGTCCCTATGGTTTCTATTTTCTATTCAGGACATAACCAGACCAAGTAAAATAACGCATGTATAAAGTTAAGTTTCGACTTCTTTGATTGTTTGAAAGCAGATTGTGGGATTGCATCTGGGGGAGGGGTGGGAGAAAGGCGGTTTTGCCTAAGTTTAAATTGGTCAACCGAAGGCTGGGTCAGTTCCATAAGTTTGGGAAGGCCCAGTGCTATGTTTCCTTTATATTGCTTTAAGAACCAGACATGTTCTATAAGTTTGGGTGGTCTGGTTGCTCTGACTTGTGAGGGCTGAATGTGATTGTTTTTCAGGAGCCAGTCTGATCCATAAGTTTGGGTATTCTGGCGGTTTTATTTATTTGGGGTTTTTACAGTTTCTTTGTTTTCTGAACGAGGAGGTGAGCATATCCCATAAGTTTGGATGGCTCTACCTCTTCCTGCTTTGGTCTAAGAGAAATAAACCAGGCTGAGGACCAAGACACGTTCCATAAGTTTGGGTGGTCTTGGTCCAACGCCTCACACATGCTGGAACCGGAAGGCTATAACTTTGATATACTTTGCTATTATGCTATCTATGAACATGCTAGTCAGGCAAGGTTCCATAAGTTTGGGTGGCCTGACTATAGCTTATCACCAACTGAAGAGAGTACTTAACTAAGAATACACCTGTGGTACGAAGGGGCAGGATGAGTCTTGAGTTGAAGATGATTGACTCAGCTATATGCTACCTCAAAAGACTAAGTACAGACAATTATATAAACCTTGGATACCTACACAGTTCAGGGCGACTAGGATGGCCTGGTCATATGCCCAAAGAAGATAAAAGTTGTTGTGCCCTGTGTCTGTGTATACTTATTGGCTGGGCTAGACATGTTCCATAAGTTTGGGTGGTCTAGCCTTATGCTTTATGTGAGTTGGGTATAAGGGACAAATCATTGAAAGGCTACGAACTATTGTCTGCTAAGGTAACTTGGGGATAGTGAGAGAGTGCATGTTTGTAGTTTGGCCTGCATGTGACTGAGTGATGCCACTTCTTAGTCCGAGTTTGGGTTTTGATAGGTAGTTGCTGTAGTTGCTCGCCACGTGCTAGAGTCATAGGAGTTAGAGTCAATTCCTGCATTTTCCGGGCTCGTTTCTTTTTACTTAGGTCGATTTCTGCATTGTTTTGGGGATCTTTTTCATACTTGGTCTTGTATAAATCTTGGTAAGCCATTTTTCCTACGGGAAGCGCTGCCGAAATTTCTACAAAATCAAGGAGTTAGTCAAGACTTTGACTTCTTCAGGATCCGACCTTGACGACTTTTTGACTTAGTAAGAATCTGGGGAGCCTCCTTTTCTAAAGGAGATGATGCCCAAATTTTTACTAATTCAAGGTGTTAGTCAAAATTGGGCCCTGAAGGATCAAAGTCATTTTCAGATTCCAAACCTAGCTTTGTATAAATCTTGGACTGACGCTTTCTCTACGGGAAGCGCTGCCGAAGTTTCTACAATTCTAAGGGATTGGTTAAGAGTTTGCCTTGACAGAACTTAGACTTTATGGCTAAGTTCAATTCTGATTTAGTATAAATCTGGGAAGCCTTCCTCCCTGAAGGAAGTGCTGCCCAAATTTTTGCTAAGTCAGGGAGTTAGACAAATTTTTGCTTTCTGGAATTCCAAGGTCTGACTTTTGGACTAGTATATTTTTTGCGATGGCACTTTTCCTACGAGAAGCGCTGCCGAAATTTTCCTAAATTAGAGGAGTTAGCCTATATTTGGATAAGTGATGACCTATGTAGGGGAGACTACGACGAGATTCACCTTACGCTGAGTGCTATCTAGGGATGGACATAGACTTGGTTAGATATGACGACTCGAGTAAGGTCAGGAGGTGAAGGTTACTCTCCCTGAGCGAGTAGACTTAGTTTGGGATTGGTCTGGCTTGTGTTACAGGTTTCTTTTATCAAGTCGCTTCAGGACGTGGGCTGGACCCAGGTTGATCCTATTAATATCACCTTCTGTTATCACAGATAACAGGTCGGTTGCCGACTCGTCGGTTTACGACTCAACCTCAACGCACTCTCCTTACTCAACCTAAAGAGGCTTCAGCCCTGGTGATCTTCTCTGTTTTGTTAAGGTTTCACCCAGACTTTTATTGAATGGACATTGAACAAAGGTACTGAGTATTTACTTAAGGTTGGTTGGTTGGAGGTCGGGGCTTGCATGGCTGAGGCAAAGGGTATGAGCATAGAGATTGGTTGGAGTTGACTCCGTGTAGTGCTTGGACTTCTGTGTTGACTATTTGATATGATTACAGGTATGTTCTGTGAATTGGATTATTGGATTGGACTGCCCTGCGATCTCGTATATGTGCATGAGGAGACCCACTGTGATTGTGAGATGTGATCGTCACACGTTCATTCCCATATGTGTATATATGTGTGTATATGTGTATGTATGCGTACCTATGTAGGGTACTTGTGTGGTCTGTAGGGTCCGTGTGCTAGGGACCTAATCCAGGGTTGGAATGAATAGAAAGGAGGGAATGACCCCTCTATTTATATATATGCTTCCTTGTTAGGGTTTATTTTTGTGGAACGATAAATGTGTATATATGTGTATATATGTGTATGTGTGCGTACCTATGTAGGGTACTTTTGTGACCTGTAGGGTCCGTGTGCTAGGGACCTAATCCAGGGTTTGAATGAATAGAAAGGAGGGAATGACCCCTCTATTTATATATATGCTTCCCTGTTGGGGTTTATTTTGGTGGAACGATAAAGTCCCGAGCGGAAGGGTCAGCGTATCGCTGGTGATGCGCCAGACAACTCACCACCGTTGTAAACCCCTTCCCGCCCTAGGGACCGTCTTACCCCGCACCCTTTGGGACACCTCAGTGTGCAGAAGGCGGTAAAGCCCCCAGGCCGGTTTCGCGCCCGCTAAAGGGTTACCCCCTCTTGGCGCGCACGTCAGCCGACGCCTGAGCATCGGAAGCGACCGCATGACTCAGAATAAGCCATTTGGGTACGGGCACCACATAATGCGCCGTCATCGCAGTTACTCACGTAGAGCTGCATAGTGAATTGGTATGCGTGGATCCTACGTTCGAGCGATCTTATACTAAACCTCGCGTACGACAGTTATCGACTTCCACTGCGTAAAGTTATGGGTTGGATACAAAAGGGACTAGGAGTGTGTCGCGTTGTACGTCCTTCGTGTCGTTCAGTACTTGTGTGCGTGTGCGCGTGGCGTGTGGGATATGTCCTAGTCGACCGGCGACGAGCCGCGCTTGGGACCTCAGCCCCCCTAAGATGTCGGTTCGCGTGCGGGTCCGATAGAGGGGTAGTACCGCGCGTACCCCTTATGCTACAGCGAACGAGAAACGCCCTCGGTTGGTCCACCTCTGCGATTGCAACTGATCAACTTTCGTACTGTGGACTGGTAGCTCGGCTGGGATACGCCCACCGAAGGGAGGTGACAGCTCCCGTAAGGTGGAGGTAGTCGTGCCTCGCGTAGGCCCTATCCTGTCGCAGGGGCTCGCGAGAGGTATGGCTGGCGCACTCGGCCGTAGCGGCTTGCGGAAGCTCCATGTATGTATCGTGACGAGGAATGAGATCCAACTCCTGCGTGACGCGGCCGGGAGGGTCCCGCGCTACCCGTAAGTAGTGCTGGACCGATGCGCTCGACACCGTGAACAATGACTATGAAATGACGCTGAACGTCTCGTCCGTGGTAGACGAAGTGGGTGAGGAAGATGAGGGAAAGCGGGTGAAGGGGACTCACACGATAAAGTACCAGTTTGTCAAGATCGATGAGCTTGGCTCTTACGTAGGTTCGAGGGAGCTCGTGGACCTGATTTGCATTGTATAATCGGTGAGCGAGGTAATGGAGATTCAGAAGAAGGCCGACATCAAAGAGCTGTCTGAGCGCGAGGTCACGCTGGTTGATCAGAGGTTGCAAGACTGTTGTCGTGTCGTTGCTGGCGATGGAAATAGGGAAGGACTTGCAAATGTGCCAGCAACGCCAACCAACATCAACTTTCCTCTGCGCCAAAACTACTGCGAAAAAGGAAGAAACGGCCATGGCCAGTCTTTTTTCTTTTCTTTTGGGAAGCCCAGATTCTTCGAGTTCAAGGCTGCACCCCTCACAAACGCCCAAATTTACGAAAGTTGCAGCGTCCTTTTTCGATTCCAACCCCGCAACCCTTCCAAGTCCCCAAATTCACTCGGCCCTCAATCCCCCAATTTGCCAAACAGGAAACCCTGGACGCCGTCCATGAACGAGAGTGGACGACCTCTACCGCCTACCGCTGGATGTCTGCAATCCAGGCTATGCGACGACCGCGAAACGCTGGACGCCGTCCATGAATGACACAGGACGACCTCTACAGCCTACGGCTGGAAGTCTGCAATCCAGGCTCTGCGACGACCGCTAGCCGATGGGTCGGTCTCACGACAACGACCGCACCCTTGCCATTCACCACTCGACTCCATCTATCTACTAACACCCCGATAAAACCCGACGACACGACATTTCCCGAAACGGCGCTCCCGCTACGCGACAAAACGCAAGGGCGGTAAGGCATAAGGCACAGCCTCCTGGCTGCGAATAGTAGGTTTTGGGGGATAGCCACAGCAAGAGGAAAAAAATAATAATAATAAAATTCTGATTGTACCCCCGCAAGCATGGTCCTTGCAAGTTGCAACCCTTGCAACTCGAACGTCGAAAACTCAACCATGTCCTGGCATGGCCCGAAATTTCGGCCCTACCGGTAGGGCTCGGGCTTCGAATGGTTTCCGCAAGGAAAGACACCGCCGGCGGGAAAAAACACATTAGGCGGACGTCGTCAATGGAAGGCCTCTTCCCCGGTACCGGGCAACGCTGTAGTGTTTGGGTCTGTTGGTACATATACCGGCCGCCATAGTCGTTCGGGTTCTCTTTCGGACAGCCAAGTTAGGGTTAAAGTGGTAGCAACACTGCTACCCACCTTGCCACAGTATCGGTGCTGAGGCTTGGGCCCATTTCTCCCTGCTTGACTCATCTGAAGCTTCTTTCTCCTCTTGTCGAGTCCTTCCATATCTGTGTCTTCGTACAACTTCAGATTGATCGTCTGACGGCCACTTGTCAGTTATCCAGTCAGCAGCCATGGGGTTCAAGGGAACGAAGGCGGAGAAGAAGGCGGCGTACGACAAGAAATTGTGCGCTCTTCTTGACGAGTACACTCAGGTGTTCGTCTGCCATGCCGACAATGTCGGGTCTACTCAGATGCAGAACATTCGCCGGGGTTTGCGCCCGGACTCCGTGGTTCTTATGGGGAAAAACACGATGATGAAGCGTTCGATCAAGATCCACGCAGAAAAGACGGGAAATAAGGACGTGCTAGCGCTTCTCGATCTCCTCGTGGTATGGATTTCTTTCCTTAAATCTTCGGAGTAACAGAGGGATTGTGTTGTTCATGAATGGTGGGTGTTTCGACGTGTGGTTGTCTTTCAGCACATACGAACGCCGAAATTGGCACTGTTCCTGGTTCCCCCGGAACATAACGCACCGTGACAGTGAATGTATTTAGACTATATTTACGTGCCGATGCATAACGGAGGGTGCGCTGTGTTCGGTGGAAGGCGGGCAGTTATCGGAGGCATGGCCGGCGGCGGGGGAAGGGAGAATCTTGCCCGGGTTTATCGCACGAGGGGTCCATGTGGGGTTGTAATAGCGAATGCGTTCGGCGACGGCTGGGTGAATTGCTTGAGGTAGATATGGTGATGTAAGTGCAGATGTGCTCTCCGTCTGTGATGTTTTCACAGCTTCGGGCGCCTACTTCACTTAGGAAGCCACGGGAAATGACGTGTCTTGCAGTCTGTCGATGGTCTTCAGGTAGTGCGTGGATTTCTCTCTCTCTGTGCATGCAATCGCCTCTTTTCTTGGCCGCTGATTACTACCAAGTTATTCACCTGTGTAGCGTGTGGATTTCTCACTCTGCTAGCAATCGCCTCTCTTCTTGGCCGTGGATTACTACTAGGTACTAACCTGTGCGGACCTACCTTCAGCTGTTCGATATCCCCGCGTATATGTCAGACCGTACCCATACCACAAAAATCCGATGTCTGTGTCTGCATGCGTATGATGATTGCAGTCGATTTGTTTTAATCGTGGAAGTCCTCTGTGGTCCCTTCGTAATCTAGTTATGTGTTGACACGCCTGCTCTTTTCTCTTACACTGTCTTCCCCCGAATAGAACGTACGGTCATTATCACTGTATGTGGACCTAATCATTATCACTGTATGCGGACCTAATCATTATCACTGTATGTGGACCTAATCATTATCACTGTATGTGGACCTAATCATTATCATTGTATGTGGACCTAATCATTATCATTGTATGTGGACCTAATCATTAAAACTGTATGTGGTCCTAATCATTATCACTGTATGTGGACCTAATCATTATCACTGTATGTGGAACCGATTTGGTCTAATGGTGCGGCGATAATGAACGTACGTACTATTGGCGACGGAAGACGGCAGCTCTGTACGAGCATCATCGGAAATCGTTGTAGGACTGCACCCGCGTCAAATCTCGCAGCGTGTAAATTTCGAGGTTCCATCTTTTCTGCGTTACGTTGAGGAGGAAAATAAATCTGGTCGTGAAGCAGACAGGATCAGTTTGTGACGTCGATTGATTGAAATGTATCGGACGATTGGAATCGCGGAATTGTCGACTTCGACGACAGTATGGATTGTCGCCGTGTGTTGTGATGTGGAGGTTACTAATCTAGTTCTTGATCTTGTCGTCTTGATTTGATTGGAGGTCACTAATTTGGTTCGTGATCTTGTCGTCTTGATTTGATCTGGTTGTGGTCGTGCAGGGTAATGTGGGGTTCATCTTTACAAAGGGCGATCTGAAGGAAGTAAGGGAGGAGGTTGCCAAGTACAAGGTAATCCTGGCTGGAGTCCAGCTTCGCCCCGGTTCTCCATTGGAAGGACAAACTAGGGAATGAACTAGCAAACTATTCAACGTGAAAGTACTCCCGCGATTGTTTCTTTTTTACTCTTATTAACAGATAAAAGAAATGGTCCCTCACCCTTTTAAGGTCTCGGAGATGATCATGATCATATATCTCCGTATGCACTCTTCCAGCTCGATATTGAAGTATGATTTTGGGCGGGAAATCTCGACAGCGCGCACCTTTTGTTTTTTAATCAGCTGGGGGGGTGCGGGGTGTAATTTGGGGGTGTGGTAAGGAAACTCACGTTGCGCCCGACTCGTGATAATCATACAGCTCCGTAGGTATTCTTCCCGGTCGATATTGAAGTACGATCTTGGGCGGGAAATGGCAGCGGCGCGCACCTTTCGTTTTGTGACCAATTTAGGGGTGTGAGGGGGCGGTTATAAAGGGAGGATTGGGTGGAAGGGAAAGCATGTTGCGCGTGATGGAAGTTTCAAGTCGAAAGCACAAACGGCCGCTTTTTGCGTCGGAAGCTCCTGCACAAACGTGGGCGGACTTGTACAGAAGTTCTGAAGAGGGCGGACTTTTTCCCCTTGTTTTCTGTGTTTTTTTTTCGCTTTTGCGCTGTTATATCCTTGTGACGGTTAATCTTCCCCTCATTCAGAAGAAGCGGGCTTTCCCCGTTCGAAAAATCAATCTCGCTGTTCGGAGGCTCTTAGGAGTGGAGTGTTTGCACTGAGTATGGATGGAGTGGGTTCTGGGTCTGGATGGCCTGCACGCTATGGATATTTGTTAGTCGCATGCAGGTGCATCGATTTTGCTCTATGGGAATGATGCAATCGGAAGGATAACACACACCAGCGTATTGAGAGTGTACACGCACTACAGTCTTCCCCCGAATACAACGTACGGTCATTATAGCTGAAGTTAGACTTAAATATGCACCAAATTCAGATATAATGACCGTACGTTGTATTCGGGGTAAGACTGTAGCTCTGTGTTGAATGCGTCTAAGCTCATTTACCACAGTTAGTTTCGTTGAGTGATAAAACCCCTACCTTCTTACCCCGAATACAACGTACGGTCATTATATCTGTATCTAGACTGAAAGATGCCTCAAATACGGCTATAATGACCGTACGTTGTACACGGGGGAAGAAGGTATCCTGAGTAACGAGCGGAACTCACACTGAACTCTTTTTGTCGTCTATTATCAGTTCGCTTCGCTTTAAGTGGTCCTGTAAAACTGACCAGAAGAAATAATTGAATCGGATGTATGGTTTTCATTTCATTATTATATTTTAAAATATGACACGGAGATGGTGCTTTGTTGTGGATTTAAACGTGTTACGGAAGGCCCAAGAAAAGGGGGACTGCTTTGTCGATGGCTGGCTCCCTTCTGCCTGTGGGGACCAGCAGGTGTGCCGAAACCGGGCTCTAACGGTCCATTAGTACATCAATAATCTCTCAGAAACCCTAAATTCATGCTGGTAAACGTTTAGGGCATCGACGCTCATTCTCGAAATATTCAGCATGAGAACGAACTTCCCGCCAGAACATGGCCAGATGCACCCGCCACATTTGTCATTTTCACATCCCGAGAGTGGTGTGGCGAGGCCGTTCGTGATGAATTGGCAGAGGATGAATCTTGGGAGTCCAATTCGCATTTAAGAAGCAATCCCGAGTATCCACCTGAGTCAAAGATCGGGCTCGTTGGTAGATAGACAAATCTGTCAAAATCGACTGACGTAAATGTAGAGTTCTTGCAGTTTGTACCCTCGCAAAAGAATTACGGTGAAGATGTTAGTTCACACATGGTAAAGAGGATGTAGTATGCATGCCTCTGCGCTTCAACGGCGGATTTCGTTTTCGGTGGCTAGGGTATGAGCGTGCCAGTGCCGACAACGTGACGAAGAAAATATCACAAGCGTAAGCCGTCGAAACATCGAGAGGCAAAATAAATGAGAAATGATCTCTCGTTGGATTTCGTTATTGGGACTCTCTCTCCATTGAGAGAGAGAGAGAGAGAGAGAGAGAGAGAGAGAGAGAGAGAGAGAGAGAGAGAGAGAGACGCCTACTTACTCGGCTCCGTAGAGNACACATACAGAGAGAGAGATAGATAGATAGATAGATAGAGAGAGAGAGAGAGAGAGAGAGAGAGAGAGAGACGCCTACTTACTCGGCTCCATTGAGAGTGAAAGGGAGAGGCACACACACATAGCGAGACGCCTTACTCGGCTCCATTGAGATTGAAAGGGAGAGGCACACACACACAGAGACAGACACACACACAGAGACACACAGAGACAGACACAGAGAGAGAGAGAGAGGGAGAGACGCCTACTTACTCGGCTCCATTGTGTGAGAGAGAGAGAGAGAGAGAGAGAGAGAGAGAGAGGCCTACTTACTCGGCTCCATTGAGAGAGAGAGAGAGAACGGAGTTGATTATCCACTCCTATTCTCTCGAGGCGTCGGCCTTTCGTTGGGGAGAAGTACCTGCTGACAACCGGTGGTAGCGTCCCACAAGGTCCATGCTACCGGGCAGAGTAAAAATATACTTCTGCAAGCAAAGAGGTTTTATGTCCGTTCAGGAACAGTGCGTGGTTCTATGTCATTGCTCAGTTTTCGCTTGAAGGTGCTCGTAATCAGTTTGGGTTGTTGACACTGCCTTGTCCTTTCCTCTTGGCGTGTGATGGCCCTGTTGTTGGTCCAGGTTGGTGCTCCCGCCCGTGTCGGGCTTGTTGCGCCTATCGATGTTGTGGTGCCCCCAGGCAACACGGGGTTGGATCCTTCTCAGACTTCCTTTTTCCAGGTGAGTGGACCGGTTCAGACATATTTGAAATCTCTGTCTATGTGAACATCCTTGATGCCCGTTGTTAGTCTGGCCATGTGTTCTCGCGGTTATCATGTTTGTGCGTGTGTTTGCGCTCTTTGGATCTTCGAATTTTTTAATTCGTGCACTTGCATGCGTATGTTGAATGGTGAAGCACGGCAAATAATTTGGAAATCGTGTGTTTATAGTGGCATTTTCGTTAGGCACATCTGTGAACTGAGAGTATATGCAATACCTAATCGAAACGGCTGAGCTGTGATGCCTATTTCTTGCTCCTGAGGTATTTGTTTGTAGGTCATTAGAGTTTCGATGGAAGAGAACTTGTCATCCACAGTGTTGCTGTCTTTCATTCTAGAATATATCAGTCCTGAAAGTTCATCACTGTACTGAAGTTTCTTAGTGGGCGATGGATGAAAGAGCAAAAAAAAAAAAAAAAAAGAAAAGAAAAGAAAGGGCAATTGTCATCCACAGTGTTGCTGTCTTTCATTCTAGAATCTAGCAGTCCTGAAAGTTCATCACTGTACCGAAGTTTCTTAGTGGGCGATGATCATGAGATGTAGACCTGGCCCACGTAACTTCGAATTGTTGTGTGCTGTGTTATCTGGTTTCGCTCTTGGGTTTGGATTTCAATAGTCGATCGGTGTGTGCCCAGTTACGCTCATTGGTCTGATCTCAAAGTTTAATGGTTCCAAGGGAGGCGGCCTGGGGATGCCATTTTTTTAACTGACCGGCAGGTAAATTCTAATGGATTGATTGCAGTCTGTTTCCATCAGGAGTCGAACTCAGGTCTGCGTCTTATGTTTGTTAAGGGTGTTACGTAATGGGGTAGGCACGATGGTTTGTTCTGAACGTTTGTGTACTGTGTTTTTCGGCGGATTTCGATGGATACAGGTGTTGAATATCCCCACGAAGATTAACAAGGGTACCGTCGAAATTATTGCGCCTGTGGAGCTGATCAAGACGGGGCAGAAGGTGGGGTCATCTGAAGCAGCTCTTTTGTCAAAACTGAATATCCGGCCTTTTTCGTACGGGCTTATCATTCAGAGAGTCTACGAGAGCGGGGCGGTCTTTGGACCCGAAGTACTTGACCTCACTGATGACGACCTGATGGAGAAGGTTATGCAGGCGATCTCTACAGTTGCCGCGATCTCCCTGGCAACGGGTTATCCGACGCTCGCCTCGCTTCCTCACTCCATCGTCAACGCGTACAGGAACGTGCTGGCCATTGCTCTCGCTACGGACTATTCTTTCCCTCAGGCGGAGTCTATCAAGGAGTACCTCAAGGATCCGTCCAAGTTCGCTGCTGCTGCTGGTCCTGCTGTGACTGCTGCAGCGGAGAAGAAGGAAGAAGCTGCCGCTGCGCCTAAGGAGGAGGACAAGAAGGAAGATTCTGAAGAGGAAGAGGAAGACGGAGGATTTGGCGGCCTGTTCGACGATTTTTAGAGAGACAGAGAGAGAGACACAGAGAGAGAGAGAGAGAGAGAGAGAGAGAGAGAGAGAGAGCAGGTATTGTGGATGATTGAGTGTTTGCCTATTGGTCGGGCTTCATGCGGCTCATTAGAAAGTGCGGACAGGGTGAGAGTGGGGGGGGTGGCGGCGTGTTGGGTATTGGCAGCCGGTTTTCCCCGTCTGGGGGCAATTGACTGACTTCTTTGTGCATGTGGCTGTCATGATTACAATTTGAAGTTTGATTGATTTCGAAATAGAGACGACAAAAGGTCGTTGGGCACTCTTGTTGAGTATCCTGTGCTGATTTCACTCGTCTTATGCACGCGTGTTGTAAGTGTATACATTGCACCTGGCGCCCTATTCGTCTCTGCTCGTAACAGTCCAACTCCCTGACGTTTTTCGTTAGCAAACCGGTTCCCAAAAGAGCCCACGTCAAATGTTCAAAATGAGAATGAATCTTCCGTCAGAAGATAGAAACATGCACTGCCATAATTTTGTCTTTTGTGCATTTGGAGAGTAGTGTAGCGAGGCTTGTTGTCCTCTTGTACTTCACCGAAAAGATCGGACCCTTGTTAGCCGTATAGCCAGGGTAAACCCTAAACCCTTGTAGATACGACAAATGACCTTATCGTGACACGAGTTTAAAGATTTGGGAGCGGAAGAAACCTCATAAAGTAACGAAACGCAGTTTTATGGAAATCTGTTAGTTCTCCTGAACGATTTCTGTAACAGTGAAAATGATGCATAAGGGCAAAACTTTCGAAATAATGCATAGGAAGCACATGAATCAGATACTATGTGAGATTCAGCTATGCACAGGACCTCGATCTCTCTCTCACACACACACACAGAATCAATCAATCAATCAATCAGTTGTATGTGTGCATGTGAGTAAATGATAGCCTACCTCAGATGCATTTCTTAGGTCTTGCAGGCATGCCATGCCGCACTCCGGATTATCCAGATGCTTATGCCGGATTGATTGCACTGAGCAGTTTTGGCTCTTATCTTTCTGCTATAGGAACTTCAGGCTTTTTTTTGTGGTTGTTTATAGGGATTCTCTCTTTTTCTCTCTCCCTCTCTCACACACACACACACGGAGTCCGACGAAACAGTCTGGTACAGTCAGGCTTTTTGTGAGTGTATAGGGAATATGACAACACACGGGCACACACATACACTGCAGTGGCAGCACGGATTCTGACGCAAAGCATTTGCGACTGTTTTGTCTTCTGTTTGTTTGTTTTTTTGGCACTCATTTGTGTTTGCACACAATGGATTTCCTACACTGCGTTACTCCGATCCCTGTGCATATTCGTCATTACCGTCACCATCTTCCTGACCAGCGCCTCTCCTTTGTCTGCTCCTGCTGCTGATCCATGTGAAGCCTCCAGGCATCATCTCACGATCAGTATGAATGCTATGATAATTGCGTGTGGGCAAGGTCTGAGTGCGTGAGGTGTTGACGTTATCATCAACAGGCATCATAACTCTTGTGCCTAATCGTCAGGATCATCATCGAATCAGCACCCCAGGTCATGAAAAAGTGCTGGTCACACTTGGTAGAATAGAGGCCCCGATGTCCAAACACTCGAAACAAAACTTCTTTTTCTTGTACATACTTAGTCGAGTACGGGATCCACTCTCTCTTCTTGCGTGGACTGGCTAAAGTCAGGCCTTTGGCTTTCGCCCATTTCGTTTCCTGAGGTTGCCTGGAAGTCCACGGGGGAAACTGGTCAGTTGGATCCGGTGAAGCCTATTCGCCAAATAGGTAAGAGAAAGCAAGTAGAGTGAGTAAGGTGTGTATGGGCAACTATTTGGCACGGTTCGAGGGCACTTGAAAATTGCGAGCGTGGAGTGACTCCTTTCTAATATACATACCCGGATTTGATTTAATGTCAATCTATTAAGACTAGTTCCCAAAGGGGCCAAACACAATTCCGAGTATTCGGGTACTGTTGTAGGGCGTAAGAACACGTGATCCCATTCGCGAATGTAGATGGAGAGAGGGAGAGAGAATAGCGAGCAACGAGAGAGACTTGGTGTCTGACGTGATTGGAGACGGTAATCATGATTGAAATCTTCGTTTTAACATCACCATCGACATTTTGATCACGGTTGTTGTCATCATGATGATGATCATGCTCGTTCTAAGGTCCCACCATCTCAGTCACCCTCTCCCCCTTCTCGTGACCTCTGTTCAACGTGGAAGCAGCATAGCCCCTCCGAATGGACATCCCATCTCCCTGACTTTCTCTTTGTTTCTGCCTCTCCGATATTGCTCTTCCCTTCTCCTTCATTGTCCCTTCATCCTTGCTAGGCTTGAGTTAACGGACGTTAGTCAAGTTAACGGATGGTAGTCATTATGTTACGACTGCTCACCATATCGTCATCGTGTTCCCAACCTCTTTTTCCCACCCCTCTGTCATTACCCCACTTTCCTCTCGTCCTTCCTCGTGCTCTCTCATGTTCCTCGCTGCACAGTCGACTTCACATGAGATAGCAATTTGGGCAGCGTTATTATGATTTGCTAAAAGGATTTGAGGGGTCTTGGGGATAGTCTAAGGGGAGGATGGCCGCGAGGAGGTTGGACACATTGAGGTTTGCCTCTTGTTGGTATAGTGAGCCCACCCACGCACAACCAACACCCTCGACCACACACACAAGGAGGTGTGAACCGGTATCTGTGCTAGAGACGATGTGTGACGTACGTGAACTCGGGTTGCGAATGTCCAAGGCGCCTTGCCGGGAGGTGTGACACACCCTGTCACCTGACACCAATAGACTCTTGTAGGCCTGCTAAGAGAACAACGAACCATGTCATCCCTCTCCTAACTCTCCCCGTTGATCTCACCCTTCCCACGCCCCATCCCCTCATGACCCCCACAACCCAAGATGGGGCACAAGCAATGCTCTCCAACAACCCTCGTGAAGCAATGTCGTGCATGCCCAGGGAAGCATCTTGCGATTATTGTCATTAACAAAAAGAGAGAATTGCGGTTCGAGAATGTAGAGTTTTAGGGATTCGAATCATAGCTCTAGTAGATACTGACTTTGATCCCGAAATTATAGACGATACCTATAAATAATAAAAATGTAATATGCTCTGTCAATCGTGTTCCGGAACATTTTATTATATATTCAAACGATAAAGGAATACATAAGGTACAGTATAAGCTGATTAAAAGATGGGAGCATGTAGATTCGTGATACAATAGTTGGATTAAAATTAGCATGCTGAGTAAAAGGCCTATGAATCAGGGTTGCCAGGCCGAACGTACGGAGGCCACTAAGCTGACCCCCGAACGTTCGGGCGTTCGGATCCCCGTACGGGGCCCGAACCTGAAGGGGTTCGGACCCCGCAAAAATTATTTGGGCACCTAAATATTATTATTGTTTTCTGAAAATTTTTTCGTGCGTTCTTTGTGATGTAAGGTATCTCCTCCTTATTTTTATTTTTATTTTTTCATTTAAAAACTTATTTTTATTTAAAAAAAAAAAACTATATTCTTCTCTCAATTTCACCTCACACTACCTACCGTTGAGGCAAATGTTGTTTAGTTTATTCTTCTGCATAACATATTTTGTTGTCAGATTTTTTGGAATTCTTGTTTTTTTTTTTTGTTTTTTTTTTTTTTGGGTCTGCGTTCGGCCCAACGCGTCGAGAGGGGGTGCCGAAGGTTCGGGCGTTTGGGTTCGGGTATTCGGCCTGTCCCGAATGCCGGCAACCCTGCTATGAAAGATATTTTTAGAAGCATACTTTTAGTTCACTCATCATGCTAATTTTAATTCAACAATGATATCGCGAATCTACTACGGCTTTTCTAAGGATTTTTTAAATTAACCAATTTATTACATGCTTTTGTCTTTTAATCAGCTTATTATGATGTAACTTACGTATTCCTCTATCGTTTGAATATATAAAATGTTCTGGAATACGATAATATTTTTATTATGGGAGCGATGATATTATCTAAGTGCAAACGACTTGATAACAATCGAGTACATATGATGGCTTTTCCAAGTGCAAGAGGAACAACTTCTCAAGTACAAAACAGTGGGAATGTGTGGATTAATGTCTGATACACATGGACAAATTATTAATTTACCTATTCAAAAAGCTAGGAAGATTCTCACGCCCGGCCGGGCACCCAGGAGTGACGCCTGGGGGGGGTCTGCTGCCACGGGTACCCGGACGTGCAATTATTCTTTTTTTGGTTATCTGCGCTCTTCAGAGGACTCCAAATCCGGGCTCATTTCGTTTTTTGCGAGTTGGCTGTCAAGGGGGGGGGGGGGGTATAAAATGGATTTAAAGCGGCTACAGGGGTCTAAAGAGGGTTTGCCTTTGTGTGGATTTTCTTTTTTTTCTCCGATTCTGTGAGTAATTATAATGTGACCCTCAGCCAAAAGTGGTTTGTATGTCAATCCTACACAACATATTGTCTTTCCGACATTTTTTGAGTTTTTTTTTTTTTGGGGGGGGGGGGAAGTCACTGGGGATGCTCGGAACCCTGTACGGGGGTCATGCCCGGCCGGGCACCCGGGCTTGTACCCGGGCAGAGGCTGCGTGCCCGGGCGCCCCGGCGTCTGGGAAAACAGCCTAGATTCAAATTAATTTTAGTAAGGGACTTGTACAATAGAGGAACCTAACTGACAATAACAAATACGCAACATTAGTTTTTAAAAATTAAAAATCATTCGAGTTTTATGTAATAATAATTATATAGTAAAAGATGTGAATAAGAAATAATTCAACAATAAAATATGGTAGGTTGCCGATGGTCCGAAGATCGGACGTCTCCCCCATACGTGTGGTACCCCCGTCGTCCGGATTTCCGGACGATGCCTTTTTGGCACTAAATAATATTGAAAAACTAAATTGACAGTGTTGCGCATGCCCTAGAGACCCCCCACAAAAATTTTCAGATTGTTTTGAGCATTTGGTGATAGGGTTGTATTTGGGGTAAGGGGGGAGGGGTACGAGGGGTTTTGGTGGGGATAGGAGGGGTATCGGTGGGGATTAGAATCTTTGAAGATTTTTATTGTTTATTCTACTTGCCCAAAAGAGCCAAAAATTTGGTGGCATACACCTTATGCAAGGTGAAAGCCACACTATTTTTTTTTTTTTTTTTTTTTTTTTTTCGGTAGGTATGAGATACCCTATCCGGTCCAACGTCCGACCAGTCGGACATCCCCGATGGTCAGGGGGGTCCCGAACGTCCGATCAGGTAACCTAGAAAATATGTCTAATAATTCAACAATAGAATATCTGTCTTATTAGAGTATGTCTATTTCATTGTATTAATTTGTATATTATATATTTTATATTTTTGAAATCCAAAAATATAATTATAAAATATTAATATTTTATTTGTTATTGTATAAGAACCTAGGTTACCAAAGTGGTCCGCGGTCACTTGCCCGGCCGGGCGAAAAAAAATTATGATAGTAGTTTTGTATTTTATTTTTTTATTTTAAATTTGGTAAAGAATTTCAATGTGACCTTCAGTAAAACATTCTTCGGTTTATTTTTTGGCATAACATAGTTTTTCTCAAATTTGTGGGAGTTTTTTTTTTTTTTTTTTTTGCTAGGACCTTCTTTGGTTTTTGCACAGGCTGCCCACCTGGGCCGGGGTCCCACTAGCAACGGGATAGGATAGAAATGAGTTTGTGGGCCAGTTGAGTGACCCAAATCTTGCAGCGCAGTACTCGTGATCCCACGGTCAGTATTTTTTACACGTATTACCCGAAAAAGTAAGGAGATCTTTGTTCCCCTCCTCCTGTCCTTGACACTGGGCTTCCCGCCATAATCTTTTCAACCCCCGGTTGGGGGTGTGGCCAACCCCAAAAGACAGTGGGGTCGGCCATAGGCCCACTGGTCAAAAGATTTTCAGTATTTGACTTGCTGTTGTGCAATTATCTCATTGGGTGGCGCCCTCCTTCAATCACGGAGTATATGGAGGGTGTCAGGATCACTGCTGACAGAAGTTTAGTTTATTCCAAAAAATGTGGCGGTTTGTTCACTGTTGTTGCAAGCACCACCATCTGATCATTTGTGATTTGATGGCTGGGAAGCACTCTGCCGTGATTTCCGGTGGGAGGTCTCTGTTTCTTTTTTTTTCTTTTGCATTTCTCCTGTTTTCTCAGCCCAGAAATTTTGAATGAACCTGTCAGGCCGTTACCTCTCAGTGTCACACTGGATAGGTCACACTCCTATCCGACTGCGTTACCTCTCAGTGTCACACTGGATAGGTCACACTCCTATCCGACTGCGAATGGGACCTCGCCCCTAAGACTCGGGCGGCCCCGCTGGTAGCCTAGATAAAAACATATCAATATGCATGTTCTTAATGAAAAAAAGTTATAAAAGAAAGTGAATTTGAATAGAAAATAAAAAATCGTAGTAGTGAATATTGCATATTTCTTTGTATAATTGTTTGTCCACCATCCTTGTGTAGGCTAGTAATGATGCCTTGATTGTTACGTCCTTTTTTATATTTTTTTTCAGAAGTTAAAGATTTTTCAGGTTTGAGATAACTAAGATTTTTGTAATCAGAAACTGATATGTTTCGTGTTTCTCGTGTGCAGGCTTTATATATTCGAATACCCATAGAGAATTAAATAAATTTCAATCTTTACTGTTAAAAATTATATGCTATTTTATCTTTCTCAAAGCCTATTTATTGTTTTTTCAATTTTGTTTTTGGGAAAGTTTTCGAGATGCCCCTGAAATTTTGATTAATTTGCGGCATTCCCCTCTGATAGCCAACTTACCCTGTCGTGCCCCTCTGAGAACGAAGGATGTTTCCAGAAAACCCCTGGTGTCGTTTGGGCCTGAAACATGTTTCATATGCCCCTACCGATACCTCTCCCAAATTTTCAGTATGCCCCTATCGGATAGCCGTTGAGAACCAGCAAAAACATTTCCCATATGCCCCGACCGGAACCGAGCATCTTTCCAGCATACGCATGTGGCTGTTGTTGACACTC